TTTATCCCTTACAACGTTTATTAGACTAGTTCCAAGCTTCTGCAGACAATGGTTGTGGTGTGTTGTGGTGTGCTGGCATGTTATACAAGGGGTGTGGGAGGGCACAGAATTATTGTAATATAAACTGGACCCTAATTATGTAGCTATTTTCAGTTGAGTACCAGCCTCACACAAATGGCAGTAGCAGCTTTAATGATTTACAGTCTCACTCTACCACCGATCAAGATACAGATTCTAAAATGAAAAAAAACTCAAAAATTTCTAGTAGGCAATAGTAAAAACCTGAAAAGTATCATGCAAGAAATTCTTGCATGTTTTCCAAGGACAGGATTCTTGACATTATTGTTGCTGTTGTTGTTAAGAATTTTGAAAATGCAGAAAATGAGAAGGCTGCAGCAGAAGCAGCAAAGGAATACAACACTATTTATCCATAGTCATGGGCATCCATTACCTGACTGTGACAGCCTATTACATCATATTTTTCAGAATTAAATAAATGAGACATTGTGATAGGAGAAAAGCTCCATGTATTACCAACAATAGGTTAGCTACTCTTTTGACTGAAAAAACAATTGAAGATTTGAAAAGAATGCATTTTTCTCTGTGACTGCAGATGACTTAGACAATGGCATTTTCAAGGTGTTCACAATCATTAATCATTCCTACACAGCTGAAGGGCAAATAGTTCAGTGCTGACTCTTGATTATTTTCAAAGTACTAATGAAACCACATTAGGAATATTTGAAAATGTGAAAAAACAAAAGCTGAAATCAAGTAGTTGGAACTTTGACTGTCTGCAGCTATTTGCAAGTAATACTGTTGCTGAATCTGGCTTGTAGCTTCTGTCCACAAATCAGTGAAAATTAAGTAGGTAAAATTGTCTTTAGTTTCTTGTTCTCTACATAACCATGAAATGGGAAAATACCATCTAATTGTCCTCATCTCAGCCAATGTTTCAGATGGAGAACTTATAAAATTTGAATGGGAAGAAATGTTCTATTTGAGACAATTACTTGCATACTCTAAAGGTACAAGGACCATAATATGCTTTCTTGGTTTTAGGAGTTAGTTTTGGAAGCTGTGTGAGCATTGTCAGGTGTAAATTTACAATCCCATTTTCAAAGGTAACCTCATAGGAGGTGATGCAGAGGTTTTCAGTGACAAAATGTCACTTATAATTTTAAGATGATACTGAGTGTTTCTTGTACAGAAGTCTTGCAGGTAGAACAATCTGTCTCTTTACATGATGAAATGTAGAAGATAATGCATTCATTTAAGGTTAATTTGCAAAAAAAGTACTGATGAGAAATTCTTTGGTCATAAGTAGCTATGCAACATTGGGGAATAATAAAGAAAAAAAAGACATTTCACACAAAGATACACTGTAGCTGCCTGAAATGGGGCTTTATATTTTCATAAAATCAAACAAAATACAAATAAAATGATTAAGTTTTAGTGGGAAATTAATGCCTTTTTCAAAATTTGGCTGCTCTCCAGTGAATGCATCCAGGCACTTTGTGAATATGTGGTAAAAGTAGGAAAATCTTGGGTCTGTTTAGGTGGCATGGCAAACTAGGTGCCATTAAGACAAGAAAACTTAGTGACAGAACACTTTCCTGTACATGACCTCAGTATTTCACGTAGAAAGTGTTTTACCTTTTTAGCTACTGGGAGAAATCTTGTTTAAAATGTTGCTGGTTTTCACTTCTTCCTGTGTTCATTGCAGTAGTCAATAGTTGCTGCCAGAAAAAAAAAAAAAAAAAAAAAAAAAAAAAAAAAAAAAAAAAAAAAAAAAAAAAAGAAGGAAGACTTGGAAGATTATTAACAAAATTACTGGTGCATTGGTAGAACAGAACATAAAGAATATTGCTAGAGTTCTAGGATGCTGTTTCATTTGAGGCATCACATCACTGAAACCTGATGTCCTGCCTGAACTCTCTAAATGCAATTTCTGTGCTTTGTAGAGATCTAAAATGGCAGGTATTAGCTATAAAATGAAGAGTATTACTTTCTTGTGTCACATGGTATTAACCTGTCTGTAAAGCCAACATAGAAACCTTTCTTCTGGCAGTTTCTTGTTGGATGCTCTGTGCTGGAGATCACTGTACCAGCATTGTGCAGAACAGCGTATGGGAGCTGTTGACTTCACTGGGAATGGAGTATCTGTTGTCAGTGAAGATAGAGGTAATTTTCTGAAATATGCATAGACTTAGAACCATTAGAAGTGGAGAACCGAATGCCAGCTTCAAAAGTGACTTATTTACTTAGTTAAAGACTTCAGAAATTCCAAAGATTAATGTAAGGGATGTACTGATATAACATTCACTTCTAAAAGGGATTAAGTGTGAGAATCTCAGTTCAGATATTAAATGGAAATGTGTATTTATTTTTCATGGAAAAATTTTGGTTTTGTGATTTCTACATTCTGACTGAGGACTGTAAAAACTGTACTTTTTTTTTTTTAAATAGGGTTAAAGTTTTAAAAAGTCAATGCAACTAACTTCAACCAACTTTAGTGACTTTTCTTTTAAAAATGTTCCTTTGTTTTTTATCATCTCAGTTTGCCAAAAGAAAATGCAGGGTTTTTTTCAGTACTAATTAACTCTAGAAGATCTGGGAACCATTTAATTTGAATTGAAATTTTTTTATTAAGGCAAATGGAGTGGCCCATTCTGCAGGTATTTTGAATAATGATCATAGGTGGCATGTTCTAGTTGCAGCAATAAATAACAAAGATGCAAAATTGGAGTTGGGCAGTGGTGTTAGCATCACCCTGTTTCTAGGCTAATGTAATACTCTTAGCCAGAGTAGTTTACTGGAATAGAAACCACAATGTTACATTTACACTGCTGCTGGGGCCCACTTTGCTCAAATGTAGCTGCAGTACCTTCTCATGGAAATGTATTAAGGAGCTCAGGGTCTTTCCTTTCTTTTGGCAGAGTAGCAATCCTGAATAACTAAAATCCTAAAAATCACTAAATATGAATGATATACTAGAAAAGAATTATGGTTACTCCTAAATTTAGTCAAAATGGGCCATTCATATAAAATAAGCTCAGATGTGAATATCATGCAAAAACTTATCCTGTGAAAAGACAGCACTGTCATTAGCCAGCTGTATACACACAGTCTTTGGTTCTATAAATACAGATTCTTACATGTGGGCTAAGAAAAGCAACTCTACTCACTCAGCATTTGGAGAAACCCATAGACATGTCTGGCATATTCCTCTCTACAGTAGCTGAATCTGCCAAACACTTGTCACTAGACTTTCAAAGGCTAAAATGCAATTGATTTAAAGAAAGAAGATCAGTGCTGCATTTAAAACCTGGTACATTAAGGATGTTCTTTCTGAATAACAGAGGTACACTGTGTACATTACATTACATGCTTCAGATCTGTGGAGATGTCATCCATATGAAAGAAAAGTCTCTTCAGATTCAAATCTGTCATCTTCCCTGCAAAAATAAAGCTAATAATACAATGAGAAATAGTAGTGAGATAAGCTGTGAAGGAAAATGGTCCTTATTGCCTTTGGTAGCTAGGCTTTAATTCCTGAGGTAATCTACTGCCTGGTGTTTGGATACCTGGTAGCACCACTTATGCACCTTTTGATCATTTATCATCTAGACATGTGAGGCCCAGAGTGTGTTTTGGACTTGGATTACAGTGCCAGTGAATTGGGTTTCCTGGTGTTATAACATCAGCTTTGAAGGGATGGCTTGCCAAAAATGTAATAGCACAGGAGAAACAGGTGGCTCTTAGCAAAAACACTGTCCTCAATTCAGACTGCAAGCTCTACTAACTGTCTATAAAGAAAAAACCCCAATACTGTTGAAGCAATAGACAGAAAGAAATGGATTAAAAGCAAATTCAGGGTAGTCAAAGACATACCAGACTTTACATATAGCCCTAATTACCCTTTGTTCAGATATACCAGGAGTGCATCTACCAGGGGTCCTAAAGAGATGTTTTCCTTTGGATTATTCCCAAGCCCTGTATTAGCCTCTGTTGTAGAGCACACACTTTGTGTTACATCAGCAAACATCATCCTTGTCACAGCCCTGTGGTATTGGGAGGGTATTGCATGACAGACTCAGGTGGCTGTTTCCCTGAGGTTCAAAAATAGAGCAGTCCATTATTCATTTTTCCGTCTTTGAAAAGAGGAAGAGGAACACTAGCAAATGTAGCATGACCTTTTCCAGCCCCCAGTGGCTTGAATTCACAATTCAAATACAAAAGTAAAATACAATTTCTTCCATGGGGTCTTAAATGCATAAACCGTTGTGTTTATGTGTTCACCTATATAATGTTGTCTGCCCATGTGTACTTTAATTTCTGCATTTATATGTACTAGGATGGCTTACCTACAGAAATAGAATAGTAAAACATGGAGTAAATGGAAGGACAAATTTCATGTAAATTAAGGTATTAGCATATTCAGGGATGAGTGTTCAGCTCTTAGAATCAGGGTCTGTAAAGGAGCACATGCCTGCCTTTTCATTCTGCTGCAGTGTGGCCTGAGAAAGAGTGGCTGAATAATTGGTAGCAAATGGGAAAATTAATTTATTGCATTTACACAACCTCTTCCCTAAAAAGCATCGCTGTAATCAGGGGAATTTACCATTCTCTGTCTTATGTGTGTTGGTCCTGTTCATCTTTCATGTCTCTTATCAGCCCTATGACAAAGAAGTCTCTGTAAATTGTACCTTCTAGCTGTGGCTTTTCAGAGACAATGAAAAAGAATGTGCTAATGCTGAAATTGTTGTGGCACAGGACTAATGGAAGTGAAATGTTTGGCATGTTTCATTAAGCAGCTAGATACAAAAATAAAAGGGTGAAAAAAATGGAAAAAAATATTCCTAAGTCAGTAGAAAAAGAAAAAAGTTCTATTGGCCAGAACATACCCTGCTGATCTACACCAGAACAGACCTTATCAAACACCAAATAGTGTGAAATATGGAACTGACTTCAGTTGATGTATCGTGCTTTCTTTGCAGGAATATCAAATTGATATATTTTTTGCCCAGACGTGGACAGACAGCCGTCTTCGCTTCAACAGCACCATGAAGATACTGACTCTGAACAGCAACATGGTCGGCTTGATCTGGATTCCAGACACGATATTTCGTAACTCTAAGACAGCAGAGGCTCACTGGATCACCACTCCCAACCAGCTCCTCCGCATATGGAATGATGGCAAGATCTTGTACACCCTCAGGTGAGCAAGGTGCTGGGCTGAAAGCTTCTCCCATCTCTGGTGTAATAGTAACTTTCAGCAGTATCTTTGTTCTCTTGTGCTGTTTTCTTCCTGATGCATATGTGGCCACAATTTACAAATACTTAATTATTCAGGCATAGGTACTGCCAAGTTTAAAAAACAAAGTCTTGTCTTTCTATGAAAGCAACCTTGAGAAATAGGAAATATGTCTGTCTAAATTGTACAAGCTGGGGATTTTAGTGCTTGTAATAAAATCAGGAATATGTAGTCCCATAAAACCTGTCAAAAGCCTTTTTGATCGGAGTTAGATGCAGGGCTAGATAAAGCATTTTTAGATTCATGCTAATGCCAATACTTGATTCTTCAAATAAGTCATGCTGAAAGATAGTCTGTCACATCTCATCACAAGGGTGAATTGCTGGAGGAAAGGCTTTTACAGTTTTCTAATGTTTGTGATAAAATCAACTCTATGGTATTAGAAATACTGTATATATTTGCATTTTAAAAAGCCTGTGGAAATCAAAATATATGTTTACTTGTGGAAGAGATGAGCTGTTCAGAAGGGAGTTTTGCCATAAGCCATGTTCCACAACGGAAACTGTTTTAGAGATGTGCCTTTCACGCTACATTTTCTTCTGTGATTGTGTTCAGCCCTCTCGGTGCACCTGAGATGGCTGATCATGCTTGCAACTGCTGTTGGGCTTCAATACAAAGTCTTTGGAAAACAATAAGAGAGGAAATAAACGTCTGGAAAAGCTGTTGATATTTTTAGTGGCCTTTCCTTCTTAGGCTTGCTCTACTGTGAAGAGCTCTTGCTTATTTCAGTTACCTTTAGCTAAAGAGTTTGGGGATTGAGGTGTCAGTTCCAATATTCACTTGGTTGGGTTATTGGTTTTTTCCTCAGGAGATTTTGATTATGTGTTATGTTGTTTTTGTTTTTTTTTTTCTGTTAAGTTCTGTTTCAGTATTTCAGGCCAAATATTTACATTACAGTAGTTAGACTTACATACCTCTCAGTAAAGAAATTATTTGTTGAATGGACTACAAAATTTGTCTAAACCAGCTAAAAGTAAGTTAATACTTGACCCATTGGAGCATTTCTTCATCTTTCTTTGTGAAAGATGTTTTGAGTCCTTTTTGATCACTCAGGTCGACCTCCTTTCTACACAGGAAAAGCTGTTAGAGTCATCATTGTTAACACTGTGTAATTCAACCCAAATTTATCTGACCTAAGTGTCAGGATTGGTATGACATGGAAGAGGTAGCTAGTGTGTGCCCTGGTGCTGTCAGGTGTTGATGGGTGTTATGTGTACAGGAGGAAGTGTACAAGGTGCAGTCATGCTCCATACCTCTCCATCTTCTTCCCTGCCCCTTTTAGGGTGTGAATGCCCTCCTGCTGCAGCACTGCAAATCCTCTTCTAGTGGCAGTGCAGTAATTTAATAATAAGTCAATTTAATTCAATAATTAAATTCCTCACAGGTGACCTTTTCCGAGATAGAGTTTTTCTCTTTTTTAATTTTTTAGTTTTTCTCTTTTTTAATTTTAGTTTTTCAGAGTTTTTAATCTTTTTACTTAGTTTCCAAAAGGAAAAACCCACATACCCCGCATGCATGAATTGTCATGAAGCTGTGTCGTATTTTTTAAAAAAGACTGTACAACAAACTAGCACTTAATTCAGTTTCCCTGAGTAAGTACATTCACTTTATAGGCTATTAGACTGAAGATGATTGATTTTTATAGTAATTTTAAAATTGGCTGTGTTCGTATCATAGTTTGTTTTAGGGATGTCATGTAAAACCAGCTTTCAAGTAGGGATGAAGATGTTTCTGCTGGTCTGTTTGTTGCATCTGTACGATAAAAATGGCATATAGACATTTATTAGGTTATGGAGAGACAGCCTGAAGAAATTGAAAGAATTTTAAGTCCACACTATAAGTGCACATGGAGAATATTTTTATAAGTTTCTCTCCGAAGTTCAGATTTTGTGGAATTGCATATAACACGAGCCACATTTCCTGTTATTTTTGTAAAGAACAGTTGTTTTCATCTCAGAACCTTCGATGATGAATTGTCTAGAGAAACACATATGCACAGATTTCCTGGGATCCAGAAAGTCTTGATGATGTGTGTGAAATTATTTAAGATAATTATCACTGTTTTGTGTCAGGCCAACAAACCATCTGCAAATATTGTCTATTGTCAATAGCCAACAAACAGTCTGCAAATACGGTTCTTTCCTTTCAGGCCTTACTTATGGATATCAAAGCATTCTTGCATGATGCTTAAGGTTGCCCTGCCTCCTCCTCTGGCTGTTGCCTGTACTTCACACAGTAACAGAGCCTTGGTTTCTTCACAGGCTTACCATCAACGCTGAGTGCCAGCTGCAGCTGCACAACTTCCCCATGGATGAACACTCATGTCCACTGATATTCTCCAGCTGTAAGTGCTTCTTTGGTGCCTTATTCCTGTGTATGCAGGGGCATGAGTTTAATTCTGATTTCTGTCAGGTTGGTCAATTGTTCCATAACCAGTATAAGTTTAAGTTTGCTCAGATATTTAGGAAATTTTTGTTATCCTCTCTTGAACTTCTGATCAATGGACTTATGACATGCATTCTCCTGCAGATTTACCCTGTTATTTTTTTTTAGAATCAGACTTTTTAGCTGATACTATAGTCACAAACTCAGCAGATATTTGTACCAGTCTGTGCAATGTTAACTTATACAATCACTTGACATTGCAAATGAGAATTGAAACTACATTTTTCTGGCGGAGGTGCACAGCGTGGGGACATGCCAGCAATCTCTGAACATCTGAGTTTATAGCACATAGCCTGGTAATGCCTCTCTGTTTCATAGTAAAAATAAATGGTGCAGCTACTGTAAATCTCATTTTCCTTTTATTGCTCAGCTTTGCCAGCAGTCCCAATGTTGTGTTGTATGTTGTGTTGCTGGCATATTTAAAACCTTCCTAACGGACAAAACAAATACATGGGAAAATGTATGGAAAACAAAAGTCAGGTGAGTTAATTCTGGGGTCCAATATTACTCTAAGGAGTTATCTTCATACTGATTCATTTAAAAAACTTTGCGAGCTGTCTGCTCATAGGAATACCTGCACAGTTTTGTAATTTAAAACCACACAATGCAAAGGTTTTAAGAACATTTTTAAAAGGATCTCCACAAAAGATTTTAATCTTGACAATCTAGAAGACTCAGGATATGTGTTCTTCAGAAAGTGAAAGGAAAATGTATTGTTTTGTCTATCTATTTAGAAACAAGATTATCTCCCTAATCCCTTTTAAAGTGATAGAAGAATAACATTATTGAATATTTTAATAATAAATATGCTATTGTGATGGTATATATTTCTGTTTATAAATATTATACAAACTGTGATCCACAATCACAAAACAGATTTGAATTTCTGATCCAGGATGTATTTTCCTTTTTACCCAGGAATTTTTTTTTTTTTAATTCTGTCATATTAACATCTCCCTTTCCTCCAAAATTCTACCACTATGTTGCCAGGTTTTGGTTTTTTGTATGTATTAGTGAATCTGGGCAGAAATACACAGTTGTGTGTTTAATTCAGGTGTGTATAATAGATGCATATTCAACTGAACAAGAGGCAGATAGCTCCTGAAGGAGCTTTCCTGCTCATGAACACTTGTCACTGAACTCTATGCACTTCAGCTATCTTTAGTTACTACATAAAACTGCTCTTGTGGCAATCTGCTGTTGTTTTGTTGAAGTGCTGGGAAAGGTTTGTGAACTTAAAAATCAAATTCCAGAGATTTAAGGAAACGTACTAAATTTTGGTTGAAGTCCAAAGATACTACATAAATTTGAGTGCTCCTGTGATAGCAATATCCAAAGAAAGTGAACTCTGATAAACAGAAGACACTTCAATCCTTGCATTCCCTAATACCTAGACAGTTGCTAGCTGGAAGTAAGTTATGCTCTCTAGTTTTTATTGAAAGAGAGAGGATATCAGTAGGTACTTCAGCAGGCTCTCCTCCATGGCAAAGTTCCAGATTCATTATGTATTACAAATGTTCCTCCTAATTTTGATCTATTGGCTCATAACACTTACGACCTTTGAATGTACATGTGTTTCCATCAGACATGTACTACTGTCTATGGAGATGGAGATTACATTGGATAAAGCAGAACGTGAATGTATTACAGTTTCTGTGTGTGTTCTTTGTAGTTTCTTTCCAGGTGGAGGATCCTGAAGAGGAATGTTAAAATAATATTTTATAGTTTTGTCAACCTTTTTAGTCATGTTGACAACACGGGTTTATTTCTTTAGATTCATACTAAATTACATTATTTTTTCCTTGAACAGTTTTAATGCTGCTGTTACTATCATACAGGACATCTTCTGTATGATTAGTTTGTTACATAACTCGCTTGTATTTTCAGTCTTGTGTACGTTCACAGCAGTCTCTAGCTAGACAGCACTCAGTGGGACTCAGGAAGTGAATGACTGAGTGAATGCATGAATGATTTATTACTGCCTTCTGTGACAAGTTTCTGAAGGGACAAGCTGATTAGGGATTCCAAGATGTATGTCTTTGAATAAAATAATAACCTTTGTAGAATTCACAGCTCAGCTCTGCTTCCCCCTTCATCCCTTCTGTTTGTTCCTCAGCACACAGACAACTCTTTGTTGTTTCCATTGTAGGCAGGCACAAAGAAGTACAAGTTTCAGGAAATATTCCACACACCTTTGCACACAGATGAAGTTTAGTATTTGAAATTTCTGACTTATTATATAAATTTCCTTTGATATTCATAAATATGAAACTCATCTTAAATTCTTTCTAGAATATTTACCTCTAGTGCCAGCTAATTTGCACCCTAACCCTATTGTTACTCCAGGGACAGTTGACTTTCCCTCAGTGGGAATATTGAGCTCTACTTCATCTGGTTGTCAGGATGAATAAGATGAAAACAATGGCTTATCAAAAGGACCCATCTCAGTGTGCTAACAGTAGTTAACACCTACCCCTTCCTCTGGAGAATCTTATTCAAGAACAAGTTCTTAGAGCTCTCTAATTTCTTTTACAGGACTTAAAAAGTATTGAGGTAATCTGAAGCTCTTCACCCTGTGCAGGTTTTGTATGTGGGGTGACATGATGAGGTGACTCACCTGACGTATCAGGCCTTGTGGTCAGTGTGTGTCTGTAGTTGCTGTTCTTGTGTAGATGTGTGCTCTGCACACCGCTTATGTGAGAAGTTGATCCCAGTAACAAAGTGCAGGGCTGCTGTGCCACATGACAATTTGTGTCTGTTCCATGCACCAGATTGGTTTTGATGAACCACATGTGCCGAGCAGGATTTCTCCCTAATGAGCTACAACAAGGCATGGTATGAATGTGCATTTCCCTGTAAATGTGAAGAAAGAATCAATGCTGTGACTTGACTGCAGTGGAGCAATCTTGGGTAGATTTTGCTCTGTATGATCACTCTTTCTTCATATGGTTTTAAAGTACCATATGCAGCTATGTAAAAAAGTATTCTGACACTGTCATTCTTCATTTGGGTTAATTTATCCTCCTGAGCCAAGGGAGGCTGCTGTGCTGCTTTTGGCACTCAAATAGCACATTAAACTGTCTTGGTTATCTCTATTCAGCATTGATTTGAGCATTTTGGAAATACTCTCAGGATGCTGCCATCAAATTTAGTTTATTGAGGTAGTTAGGATTCACATAAACTTCAGGAAGGAAGAGGAGGTGTTCTGTCTGAGGGATTATACCAACACAAGAAGAAATAAATAAGATACAAGCAACAAAAGGCAGCCTGGGAATGAAAAGTTAAGCAAATTAATCGTGAAACTTCTTCTATAGGGAACTGTGGGTGCTCAAATATTATAACAACTCACAAGTGTTTGAACAAAGCACTAGAACAACAGTACATTGGGAGCCATCAAGCATAACAAGATCACTCTGTAGTAACAGCCATTACATTTTATTCTGAGGGGTAAGAGCATTACAGATTAAAAAGCAGGAAAAAGGGTCTGTATGGCTAAGCTACTTGAATAAACTCTTCAGCATTAGAGTTATCATGTGACTGTTTTCTAGCTAGCTTACATGGTTTTAGTTTTCCTTTTTCAGTCACTGGTGAAACTGTTGATTGTTCTGGATTTTCTTAATTTGGGCAGACTAACCATGCTGTAAATTAATGTGAGAATGTTTGCACCCAAAGCTGTGTAACAGTTAATTGTTTGAGGTCTTCATTTTTTTCACACCAGCAGAAACCTCCTCTCCCCATACATGTGCTCAGGATTAACTTGACACTCCTTCGGGTGACAGCATATGAAAGCCATGACAAAATGAAGCTGACAAACCCACTACACCTTGTTTTGAGCATCTAGTCAACTAACTTTTTAATTATGTCCGAGGAGGTTTGTGGTGGGAATGTGTGCTAGCTGCATACCTGAGGTCTGAAACAATCTGTAAGGCCATGCCTGGGGCTTTACCAGATGCAGTAACAATGAGCTGCAGTAACAATGAGCTGCAGTGCGAGATGCCAGAAAATAAAAAAAAAAAAAAAAAGTGACCAAATTGATTAATGGGTTTTCACTGGTTTATTTTTCTTTCTGCTGTTCTGATCAAACTGCAGATACAGTTGTTCATTTTTCAAATCACCTTTGACTTAGACAAGAGGAATTATGGCACCCTTTGTAGGCAATTACTGATCTGCTCCCTAGTGAGAAAGTCTAGTGTCCTGCCCAGTATTGGAGGATTGCTGCAAGACAGGAAGAGGTAGGCATGCCCAGAATGCCATTCTTACTGCAAACACCAAAATACTTATACAAAGGTTCACAAAGAATTCAATTACCTTTTGTTAATTTAAAATAGGAGAAAGCAAGATTTCCAACTATTGATGGTCCAGTTTGTTCAGTCAGGACTTAAACAAAATATTTTTTGCCTTTTAAATGTTAGAGTTGTTTTGGGGTATTTTAAAGTGACATGCAAAAGCATAGCAAGTATTGCAGGGAAAAAATATGGAAGGAAATGTGCAATGCTTTTAAAAGAAATTTATCCAGACCTAACATAGTGCTTGAAAGGAACAGATCCCATTTTTCTAAATATAAACTCAGTTCAATCAAATGTTCCCCCTTTGAACATGAAACCTCTTATGGATATGCAATCAGTACTTTGAGCCTTGTATCATTAATTTCTAACACAACTAGCTGTCATCACCCATTTTAATATGTTTCTCCTAGCCTAGAAAAGTAATTGCTGGTTTTGTGGAATGAGCTGTGCTTTGTTTCATCTCCTTTGTCATCAGCATAGTCATTAATACAGTCTGAAGGCAGAAATTTACTTCTGATGAAGAACAGGCCAGAAGGAGCACAGCTTAATGTTCATATCTCAAGAGGAGTTTCATTAAAGATGCTGGGAAGGCATTGTAATGTGCAGAAAGAGC